ATCACCATTAATTCCGAATTTGTTATTACTATTACTTCTTCCTCTTCCTCCGGACGCTTCCCGCACGCGACGGCGTTAAAGTCAACACAAAACCTCACATGTTAAGGTGACGCGTAATTACATTAAGATCACAATCGGCCTTCTTTCACGCGCAATTACGCCCAAATATGGATTCGTGAAAATCGGTACGCGATACGAAGAGAAACGGGAGCGCTGGGAAATTATACAAGAGCTATTTAATGATTACCCACATCGTTACGGGGAACATACCCAATTTATTAATGAACTGCACGCGATACCTCAATTAAAACATCAAAGGCGGCCGTTTGGAAGTATTAGGATTTTTACACGTTTTTCGACGTGCTTTATTCGACCCAATGGTGATGTGATGGACTGATTTAATCTACAACTCGTTGAGGAAAATAAGACTCCAACTCCGTCTTTCTGGATCTGTTAGATAGACTAGGGTAAGGAATCTAGCGGATGAAACACCAGAAAGACACAAAAGGCCTCTGGATAACGCTAAAAAATATGGGGGAAAGGGAAAACTATAAGCAATAAACCATTGAGGAAGGAAAGGAAGCGTATAGAAGGTAGGGGGAAAGGCCGGTGTAAAGAGTTTTAGTTTTATAGGTAATGGGCATAAGGATAGGTCCAGAGTAATTGGCTCATCGCCTGGAAAAGTTATTGCAGCCAGTCTGGTGGAAGCGATAATACTATCTCAATGGGGTTTACGTGACCAAAACATCAAAATCACAAATATTATCACGTAGTTTTCGTGGGAATCGCTGGGTGGGAATTTTAAAAACGGTGGTGCGTTTGATTTCTGAGCCTAGCGCGAGTAATTCGTTGGGCTAAATGAATCCGACTCATTCATGATTGAAGATTGACACGTTAACTAATTAGTCTCATTTTGGGCGTGCAAAAAAAAATTTGTAACTGTGGTAGGGATTAGTCCAGGCGAATTAGGGCATTCGGTTTCTGGGCCGCAATTGCGTGGTTCAAAATATAGTAATTTTTTTTCGGGCGTTCCAAGGCAAGCGAACGAGGGCGACTTACAGTTATTTGGTTATTTTGTTAATGATCCGAAATTCTGTGCGGAAAGTGATCAACTGCAAAGGTTTTAATCCCAGGAGTCTTTCTGTAGCCAAAGTTGCCGCAGTTTTCATAGCTCCAGTGACCCCCAGACAGGCGAGTCTCCGCAGCCCGCTTAGCTGCTTCTTGTAGCTTGTTCTGCGCATGGCAGGATACCATACAAGTGCCCCGTTCAGTATTATTGGTCTCACGGCATACTGGAATGCAATGGTTGATTAGCGAGAGTATGTTTCCTCTAAAATGTTTCCTGAGCTGGTTAAATCCAGTTCGCGTACTCGAAAAGTGAGCCCATCAAAGATTGCTCCCTTTCTATTCGTGAATGGAACAACCTCGCCTCTCCATACTGCACGGATCTGTGAAAAGCCGTCTTCGTTGACCTAATGCTCCTGTAAGCATTCTGTGATGGTCCAGTGTCTTCTTATGCACTCACCAGCTCCTCCACAGCTTTTAGAACAAACGATGGTAGGGTGATGGGTCCGTAATTACTTACCTCTCTCTGGGTTGAAGACATTTGCCCTAAGGCCAGAGATGGTCTAAATAAGCTGGCTACTAGTGTTAGAACTTCCTAATGATCCTATATGTTATGAAAGAAAGTCCTTTCTGATTCTCGTTTAGACCATCGGATAGGGTCCGAATGCCCGCGCTGGGCCATGGCCGCAAGCAGGAGGATATTGGTCCCCGTAGACGACAGTCACATTGCTATTTCCAGAAAAGCATCATAAGGGTACTGTGGTTCTAGCATAATTTCTCAGAAGTAGTCGTCAACTCTTTCGTTTGCTGGAGGGTATTTCATATCCAGACCCCCCGGTTCTACGCTCTCTACGGTACGGTGAAGATGGTCTCATAATTATTTCCCAACCACTGTAGTGATTCATGAAAGTCTTGAAGCCTAAACTGTTTGTGAAAAAGTGTGCTACCGGGGAATCTGGGAGTATTGGCCCCAGTAGACGACAATTCCATAAACGATTTGTAAAATAAGTTGCTACCGGGGGGTCTGGGGGTACGGAATATCCCCCAGCACACAAGACAATTCCATTGCCATTTCCAGAATACCAGCATAAGTTAGGAGAGCTCTGTTGAAACCTTGTTCAAAAGGAGCAAAATCATCACGATTCTCTAGCCCATATTGCTCAATTTGCTCCCGTGCATTGTGTCCAGAAGGAGCGTAAAAACGCGCGAACGTTTGGTAATGCGAATAGTGTCACAAAATTTATGGAGTTTAACGAAGCACTCGCTCTGAATTTCGCACGTATACCGGACCGAATGGCTCTGCGATCCAGTTTCCAATTTTCTCTGGGAGGGAGCCTTTTTTATCAAAAGACGCCTGTACCATTTGTAACCTAGATAAAAACACCGATGTAGCGATATATCCAAGCTCCTTCTACATGTTTAAGGGAGGAAAGAAGATTAAAAATGATAAGCTTTCAACTTTACCTCGCATTAACTTCAGCTACCCGGCGAGATACCGTCGAAAGACATCACGAAAGGGCGTTGCTTTTTGTGCCCCATTTTTGCATACATTTACCTACTTCATAAAGTAAGCTTTTTATATTTTCGCATGTTTATTAAAAGCATTTCTTGACGGACTTAAAAAAGGACAAGGTCGAGAAGTCTGGCAAAGGGGATGCATTTCACTTAAATTACTTTTCCGATTGAATGCAGTCGGAGTGTATTAAATATGCGAATTAACGGCGCACTTATTCAAAATGGGAATCTTTGCGCAAAAATCGTGGAAGACTGTGTCGCGATCTTAGCTTTGTACTTTCATTTGCAAACTCTAAGATGGACGTTAATAGATTGGGAAATTGTGGCGGGGCTGTTTTTCCGGTGACCCATCTCAAATGGTCCTATTCCGGTTAATTACAGTAATGGAATCAAATAATATATTCGGGCTGTACTTTACGCACGTTTTTTTATCTCATTTGTTTTGATGTGATTTTAATAAAACTGTAAGATAAGATTTGTCGCTCCACACGGGTTGGGTTAGAGTGTTACTCCCCGCCGGAATAGCTTTGATTTCTTTGGATTCCGTGGTTTTCCTAGATTCGTTGATTTTTTTAATTTATTGGGATCCCTTGCATTTTTATAACCTTTTTGATTCCTTAGATCTTATGCAATCTTCGGATTTTCTGAATTTGTTTGGTTTCGCGTCATTTGCATTCTATACACTCTACGCTTTCGATGCAGGTTATGCGGTTTGGGCGGCATTTGCGTCCCCCGATTCCTGTGCAAGGATGGGATCTATTATTTCCTTTCCATTATATGTATCTTTTTGTATTATCCGCATCCTTTGCATTGTTGGATTGTTTGCATTCTTTGCATTCTTTACATTCTTTACATTCTTTACATTCTTTACATTCTTTACATTCTTTACATTCTTTACATTCTTTACATTCTTTACATTCTTTACATTCTTTACAATCTTTACATTCTTTACATTCTTTACATTCTTTACATTCTTTACATTCTATACCTTCTTTACATTCTTTACATTCTTTGCATTCTTTACATTCTTTACATTGTTTACATTGTTTACATTCTTTACATTCTTTGCATTCTTTACAGTCTTTACATTCTTTACATTCTTTACATCCTTTACATTCTATACCTTCTTTACATTCATTACATTCTTTACATTCTTTACATTCTTTCCATTCTTTGCATTCTTTACATTCTATACCTTCTTTACATTCTTTACATTATTTACATTCTTTACATTCTATACCTTCTTTACATTCTTTACATTCTATACCTTCTTTACATT